GCTTTCAGAAAGACATCTACTGTGATAAAGTCTACTCTCCACTGCTGTGTACAAAAGGCCAGCCAGTCGGCAGAACTCACAAACGGAGCCACATCTGCTGAGTAAAGATATTAGCATACTGCTGCTGGTTAGCCAATGAGTGGTGAGGCAACCCCTCCTCTTCACCAATCAGAAGACACAATTCTACCTCATCATTACGCACACGTCGACGCAGAGAGTTCCGTTGGAGCTGCAGGTGGGAAGAGTCCGCAGAGTTTTACTCACTGTGTGGATTTTTGTTCCTTCTAATGCTGTTAGCTTCTAATGCATGTTCTGGATCCCAGCAGCCCCAGCGAGGATACCCATCACACAGTGGAGAAATGTTTCTATGTTGACAATCTCCTCCAGAGCTTTGCATCATTTCCCGAAGCCCAGCAACTGGTCAACAACTGGCTTCGAATTACGACAGTGGGCTTCCAACTACCCAGAACTCATCAATCATATGCCACCTGGATCGGTCTCACAGAGCAGTGAACTGTGGTTTTCCCCTGATGGGACTGATGTACCAGAGCGGACTCTGGGCCTGCAATGGCACTGTCAGACTGATGAGCTCAGATATCAGATTCGGCACACCGAGCAGTTGGTGGAGCCCACAATGCGCAACATCTATCGGGTTCTGGCCAAGCAGAATGATCCGCTTGGCCTCCTCATTCCTTACACCACTTGGGCCAAAATCCTGGTGCAGCATCTCTGGAGGAAAAGGAGGGACTGGGATTATCCGAATCTGCCAATCGACCTGCTGCAGCTGTGGCCTGCATGGGAAAGTGAATTGATTCAGCTCCCTGATGTCTCCCTGCCACGTTGTTACGTGCAGCCAGAGACAGACCTATCCCTTTGCAAGCAGAGCATCCACATCTTCTCCGATGCATCTGAGAAGGCATATGGAGCTGTAGACTACCTTCGGACAGAAGATCATATAGGGGGGGGTTTCCAGGTAGCCTTCCTAGCCGCCCGATCTCGAGTTGCTCCCGTCCGTCAACAGTCCATTCCGAGGTTGGAGCTCTGTGCTGCTCATGTGGGAGCCCAGCTTGCTGCCGTTCTCAAGAGGGAACTCACCCTTCGTATCTCAAGCATTGTCTATTGGACCGACTCCACTACAGTCCTGAACTGGCTCCAGTCCCAATCCTCTTCATATTTCTGTCTCATCACTTTCTTTTCTTCTTTTTTCTTCTGCTCTTCTCATTTGTCTCTTTCCTTTTCATATTCTTCTTGAATCTCTGAGTTTTTCTTCATCTTCCTGTTGTCATTTGCAGTGTTGGGTAAGTTAGTTTAAATTAGCAACCTAGTTACATTACTAGTTACTTCTATCAAAAGTAACTCAGTTACTTTAAGTTACTTTACTTTAAGTCAGTGTTGGTCAAGTTACTTGAAAAAAGTAATCAGTAACTAATTACTGATTACTCCCCCAAAAAGTAATCTCGTTATTTTACTGATTACTTATTTTCAAAAGTAATTAATTACTTAGTTACTTTTTAAAAACACGATTTACAACCTGAATAGGTGATAAAG